CCCCATGCAGTTCCTAGAATCATAATTTCTGGAACGCACCTTCACTTCTATCCCGTTATTGTTTCTCAATAGAAACATGTTGTAGTTTGGGAACCTCTTGTTTGCGTAATCTCCCAATCATCATCCTTTTCTTCCAATACAAATCAAAATTTAAGATTTGAGGGGAAATTGTATAGATGCTGAGCTGAAAACGAGTGAATAAATTGAATGTAAGAAGTAAATAAATTAAATTCAGATTTAATGCAAATTAATTTGAAAGTAATTCAAATTACATTTAATATGTAACGATCCTAAAAATTTTGACGTCATACTCCATGCAAAATTTTCTAATGAAGTGTGTAAATTATAATGAAAAATTTGTCGTGCAAAAATAATAAACGTTAATCAAATAATTGAATTTTTTTTAAAGAAAAGACTTGTTAGACACCTCTTTTTGACACGTATGTTTAACTATTTTCGATATTCGTTTTGACAATTCAATATGACAACGATGTTGTTCGCGAAACGAGTATCCAGATGACATAAGTGATTTGTGAATTCGACTAGTATACGATCGTTGACGAATTTTTAAAGCTAGCATATCATCTAAATTCTCAAAATATTAGTTTGGAATCACCTACTTTTTATTGCTTTTGATCTAATTGTTTAAATTGCTTGATTGACAGATGGGCTTAATTGGATTAATTAAACTTAATCATCTAAAGACATTAATAAGTGATTTGTTGCTTGTTATTGTTTTAATTCTGCATTACACAATTTTAAGTATAGTTAGGTCTAAACTATTCCGCTATTTATAAACCTTTCACTTAGCTACTTAGAAACATATGTAGTCGATCTCTATAAACAAAAAGGCAGACCATGGGGCACTCCTTACCCAAGCCCTCAAATTTGGCAAATGCAGCCATAGCGAAAGTTACTGAATTCTACAATGCCACTAAAATACGGATGACTCAGGTTTACTATGTCAAGAACGGTATCTGGTATTTTGACTGGTTCTTTATTATCCACGTAAAGAAACTCTAGTTTCTCGAGGTTCTTTATTGACCAAAGTGTACACGGATCTGCCATGTACGTCAAGTTCACAGGCAGTTTAATATCTATTACATGTTCATAAAACTTCAAGTCTATGGTTGAAAAATTCATGACCTTAAGAAACTTCATACCCGAAAAGATGAACGAGAGATCAGGTAAACTACGGAACAAGGAGTAGACATGTAGGCCAAAAGATTTTTGATAAGGATGAATGTACAACTGATGGTAACTGCATTGCTCATAGATCAATTGTGAATCATCAGAGAGAATAGTAACATCATTGACATGATCACAACAACTAGAACATCACCAGTAAGATGAAATAGAAAACAGAATAGGAAAGAAGATAGACAGATAGAGAAAGAACTTACTCTTCGACCACGTTCAAAAAGTTTTTTGGTTGTGCTATCCTCAAATACATATCATACTATGATCATTAATTTTACAAATATTGACTCCACCTTCAGATTGCCTTGGTAACAGTTAGGAGGCTCTTATCAATTAGATCCATTAGATATTTCTTTGCCACAATCTCTAATCTCCTGTGCCTCATCTTTCTATACAAATCTTTCATTGATCCATAGGAAAATCAACTTCCAAAATGGGATTTCCTTGCCTCCTGAAATACTGCTAAGTAAAGAGTACAGGTTTCAAATGCATTTGTAAATGCTTGTAACTAAGTTCTAGAATGTTCATGCACTTTTGAATCTTCAGATATGTGTAAAGTTGACTTATAGCATTTTGTTGCCATTAGCATGTTCTTTTCTCCATATTTGCAAGCACCTCAGCTACTACAACAACATCAAATGGTAGCCCGAGAATAGTTGTTGCGATGTGCTCCCCAATTTCTTGCGATCCTGGAGGGCAATGCTCCTTCAGAAATACCTTTTGGTGTAATAAAATCACATCATTCAGCTTCCGATAGGAAAGGAGCATGCATTAATCACACTGTGAGATGAAGTTGCTGTTTGAAATCTACTTAACATGTGCAGCGAAAAATTAAAACAATTTTCGATTCTTGTCAGGATTCATCTTTGTGCTTAGATAAAAATTGTGATAAAAGTCGTACATTTTTCTAGATCTGAAACCCCTTTGTTTTTTCTTTGTTCCAGCAACCTTGATTCTTCATCCACAGTTGTTAAATTGTCCAGCCTCCAACGATGATCTACACAGAGAACAAGATTGTAATATTAGGATTTTTCTTGTGCTAGCAAGAATAATGAAAAATCTCTATAATTTTGAAAATTCTATTCATATTTATATAAGCCTGAACGGAGTTGGCCTGACCCGATCCAACATTTAATTAACCCATTTAATTAAATTCGGTCCATGAATTAATTAATCAAAATTAATTAATTCAATACGCAACCTAATTAATTAATTTATCCAACGCTTAAATTAATTAATCGATAAATCACAATCTTTCAGTTCTCATTTTGTGTGTGACCCATCAGGTTCTCGATCCCGATGCCAACACATTTTTAATTTATCACCAATTCACTCGCTGTCCCAGATTGACATTTAGTAATGTGTCATGGTAATACATGTAACGAAAAATATCACGTGGTATGACAAAATCAAACTCGTTCGATTACCGTGAAACTATAATCTCTTTGTCAATATGATCCGATCAATTACGAGATATGAAAGTGTGTCAATTTCGATTATTGATCATATTTTTCACTCCATTATTAAGTCAATATAAGTCAAAAACTCCTTTTCGACTTATGAGTACACATTGGCCAATGATTTCGTTATCGACTTAATTGAATGAAATGTAGATCATAATCCCTTACTATCTAAGAGTGACGAATCCTCTATTGATCATTCACAACCTTCATAAGATTCTTGACATACCGAGGCGATGCCGTATTAGCGGCTCTTGGCAGAGCAACATCCAACACTATCAAAGCATGACTGTCATCATATAAGATACTATGACGATCTCAAATCAAATGACAAATCCCACTATCGAACGTTAGAGATTAATCACTAACACTGAGATAGTTATCCATATGAAATCTCTAGACGGGTCTCCAATATTTTGTTTTATAAACATTCACGTGTTCATTTAAGTGTCACGCTTGTGAGATCAGCTACTTACTTCAAAAGTAAGAAATGACACACGTGATAGTCTATTCGTAATAACGATATCCGTATCTCGTTATTATTTACGACCACGGATGATTTAAGATTCAATCATATATAATTTCTATCTCACAATCACAACTCCTTATGATTAACAAATTACCAAGATTTGAATCTACGAACTCTACTATTTAATTTAATTAAATAATTTTATGACATTTTGGAGGAGTATGGGAAGAGAGGGAGAGGAAGAGGAAGAGGGGTATTTGTATTTGGGTAAATTTTGTGAGATTTTATAATTATTTTAATTTAAAAAAATTTTAAACTTATTTTCCTAGTTTTGAGTTTTTTGAGTGTTTTAATGAAAACACTCAAAACGTAAAAAAGTCGTTTTGAATTTTGTGTTATAAAATTTTCCTTCTTTTCAAAAATCATATTTTTGAAAATAATATATTAAGCATGTTTTGAATGTTTTCGAAAACTAAAAATTAAAAATAACCTCAAAATGACAAATCAAAAGTAGTTTAAAGCACCGTTTGATAGGCACCAATTTTCTAGTGAAAATGGAATTAGGATGCCAATTTTCAACTTTTGTGTGTTTGATGGTGTTATATTTTTCATGAAAATCAAGTTCTTGGATTTTTTGGGAGTTGTGGTTTTCTAGCTTTTGTGGTATATGGTGGGAATTGATTTTCCAAGTAGTTGACCTTTTTTTTTTTTTTTTTTTTTTTTTTTTTTAAAAAAAATTCCTTTTTTTTTTTTTTTTTTTTTTTTGGTAATGAAAACAAATTTTAAAAATTATTGTAAAAAAATATTTCCTTTTAATTGACAATTTTCATGTAAAACAAAGCCAAACGAACAAAAAAAATATAACTTTCTTGAATTTTTTGTTTTGGCAATGGAAACAAATTTCATCCCCAATATCAGTAAATTTCATCTCTTTAATTGATAATTTTTATATAAAACAAAGCCAAACGAACAGAAAAACACTTTTATTTCAATATTTTTCACGTGAAAAATTATATCAATCAAACACAATAAAGTACAATTCCAGAAAAATAATTTCTAGGCAATTCAATTCCTTAAAATTCGTCTTCTTTCCATTCAAATTTTATTTTTGCAATCAAATGAACCTTAATATTTTAAAAAAGCAATATGATTGATGAGTGGAATTACAATACACACGAATTTAATAATCAATGCTCTTTCCAACTAGGGCTGGGCAAAACCCAACCCAACTCGCTCAATCCGATCAACCCAAACCAACCCGATCGATTTGGGTTGATTTTTTAAGTTCAATTGGATTGGGTTGGGTTGAAAAAATATTTTTCAGGTTGGGTTTCGGGTTATGATTTAAAACTCAACCCAACCCGATGAATTAAAAAAAATAATATCTAAGATTAAAAAAAAAGTAAATAAAAACAATAGTAAAGATATGAAAAGAACTTATAATTTATAAATGTCCATTTTTTTTTAATATAGATTGATTCCTATAAACATAATTTACAAATGAAATGTTATTTCATAATAAAGTAAAAATTAAGAAGATGATGATGAAATAAATAAATCCCAAAAAAATTGTAAAAAAAAATAAAAAAAATAAATACTTCATAAATTTTAAACTTATTTATACATCATTTTTCAAAAAGAATTTCCTTACATAGGTATTTTTAAAAAAAAAAAAAACAGAGATTTTCAATTAATTTCAAACTTTAAAAATTTATCTAAATTTAACAAAAATATAATCGAATCCAACTTTAATTGGATTTAAACTATTAATTGGGTTGGAAAAAAAAAATCGACCCGACCCGATCCATGCCCACCCCCCAATAAATTCCAACCACTTCAATTTTGCACATTATAATAAAGGATGGCCGCCTTTCAACACAATCCTCTCTCTCACGTTCAATAAAATCAATAAATCATATAACGTACTTTTTCATATCGAAGCCAAGTAAATCGTGCTGTTCCGCTCAGTTGATCAATATTGTTCTTGGGAAAGCATTTCAGAACAGATTTTGTTATGTTTATTCCGAAACGGTAACCCTAGTCATCTTTTTATCGATTTTTTATTTTCATTAACTCTTATTTGTCTGAATAAATCTTCACTCGATTGTATTCTGAAAGTAAAATTTGTCATCTGAAATTTTCGGATATCTGTGTTTTAATTTGAGATTTTTCTGTCTCTATATGCAGTATGCCTGTAAAACATCTGAGTTAAAGATAGATACATAAATTATAAGAAAAAGTACACAAAATTTCCACGATCAATTTGGTCTATTTACAATCTCTATTATGTATCAAAATTGTTTTTAATTATAATAGATAAAAATGAGTAGTTGATAAAAGGGAAGTAACTGTGGATCTAATCAAAAGCACAAATAAAAATGGCTGTAGTTTTTAATTTTTTAAGTTGAGTATGTATATATTTTCAAGGTATTAATTTGATTTTTAACTAGTATGAAGTTGACTTCCAATCAATATTGGGGGAAAAAAAAAGTGTTCCATGCTAATTCCTGTGCAATCTCATTATCTTAAGTCATTTAGATTATTCTGATAATTTATTTTGAAAGAATAAGTTGTTCACAATAATCTAACAACCACATTAATTGAGCAAAGAATGTTCACAATTGAAGTATCAAAGCTTAATAATGAACTAATTTACTACATAAAACATTTCTCAAAATTTACTATATAATCAAAATGTACTAAAGCACAACCTCAAAATGGAAGTCAAATACCAAATAATTTACAAGAATTAATTTAATCAGATTTGGTTCATAATGCAAATAATACTTGAATTTGATTAACGCACTCAACTTTAATCTCCTTTAGTCAATGGGACTGAACCAGTAGGCTCAATGAAATGGATTTAGAAGAAATTATTCATTTATCATGTGATAGTCACATGCATTGAGATATGTAAATTTAAGTCCCGGTTGATATGGATTAAAATTTAGATTTTAATTTAAATCAAAGTCAACAATTGATTTTAACAATATATTTTATAGGATTCATAACTTTTTAATTACATATTCATGAACTTTTTATCAAAATCTGATCTAAATCCCCCCTAAACGAGGGATAAGTATAAAGTAAATATATATAATTTCTGAAGAAATAACTTGATTTATAAATGAAAGTTGAAAATAAGTAAGACGTATTAGTAGCTTTTTTAAAAGGTGACATTCCAATTTAACCCATATTTGTCTCCCTTTAAAACAGAACTTTTTAATTATCATACTTTTTCAACCATACATTCATATAACAAAATATTTTGCACATAAATTAAAAACTTTTTCCTACATTTTAACCATACATTCTTTAAAAATAAAAAATAAAAAATCACTATATAAAACATTATTTTTCTCAATCAATAATGACCATCAAACATAGGCTTAATATTAATAGAAAATGAATTATACATACACAATTGAAAAAAAAAAAAAACTAAATTTACTTATAATTAAATAAGTTACTAATACTTAAATAAATAAGTTTTAAAATAAAAAAAAAATTTTTGTTAATTAACAGTAGATCATCTCCAAAACTCTTTATTTATAAAGAATATTTAATATATTATAGAGAGTATCTTTAGATTTAAAGAGTGGAAAATTTTATACACTCCAACAAATTCTCTATTTTGACTCTACGTTTGCTTTTCACAAGAAACATCTATTGATATCTCTTCTTATTTTATTTAAAGTAATTTTTTATATGCCAATCAACCAATCAATTTAAATGTAGTTTGAATTGTTTAAGAAGTAGAGTATTGAAATATGTGATTTGTTAAATACAATCATTGCACATTAACAATAGAGAGCAAGTTAAACCTACTCTCAAATTTTAAAAGTTAAAATAGATAATCCTTGAAATTCGTTTTTAAGCATTGACTCTCACAAATAAAGAACATTTTTTATTTGGAAAGTCTCCTGTAGATGCTCTAAGTTACTTATTTTTACACAGAGATTAGAATTGTATTTAAAAGAAAGTAATAGCTACTTAAAGAAAAAGAAGTCATCAAAACATAAGTTTTCTAACATATATCTAGACAGAAAATAAGTCCACGTTTAACCCTCATTTTTTAAGATTCATGTTTACCACACATTTTATAAGATTCACAATTTTTATTAATTTTTTAATCATATATTTCATCAATTTTTTTTAAAATATAATAAAAAAATAATCTTTAGCTAATGAAACATGGGCTAAATATACTAATAAGTAAATTGGTTGAAACAGAGAATTAGATTTCCTAAACGAAATTTGACTATTATAGGACATTACCATTTTCTGGCAGAGCCATATGAGAAACTTGTTTTAATACGTATTAATGATAATTTTTAGAAAACATATTTCAACGATTAATTTTATAATAATGCTATTTAGCACTAAGTGTCATCAAGTGAGATGCTCAATTAAAGGAATCACATAATTTCACTTTTAGCTAAGCACATTACATAATGCCACATAGACGGGTGCTTTAGCATCATTTTAACACTTTTTTAATTGAATAATGATATGTAGTATCCATAGTGTTGAGCAGCAATTTAGATGTCAGCATATTATCAGGTTCTGTAACTAGGTCATAAACCACTATATCTAATTGAACCTTTAATTTAATATCATAAATGTTGTCAGCTAGACTACTAATGTTAAATGTTAATGGTGCTAAATAGCATTACATTTTTTTTTTCTTTTTATGCTCAATAATTTTGATAGGCTTGAATTCAACCCAAGTTTTCTGTTCTCTCATTAGATTTATTGTTTTTCAATCCACATGACAGAAACAAGCATGAAATGGCTCCTTCAACAAACAATCTGAGGAAACTTCTTGAAAATCAATTCAAGAACGGAAGGCTTGAAATGTTCGATGGTCAAGGACAACTCGTTCTAATTGTTGCGCAGTTTATGATAAAAATGTGCGATGAAGATGATGAAGAAATTGGTTTGCTAAAGTATCTTGACGATTTAGCGAGGAATTGCTTGGGTTCCAGCCAACGTAGTGAAGCATACAGAAACTTTCCCGAAGATTTTTGGCAGTTCATGACGGGGCTGAGATCATTCTTTATAGTCAATTCCAAGCGGTCTCCCATTTATTATATTGGGCGTGTTGCGGTCTTCATTGACCTTTTCCTCGAAATTTTAGAAGAGATACTTCGTCTTCAGCCAAATTTCATTCTTCGTGTCGAGGGTTCAATTAAAACTCTTAAGATGGAGCTGAAGTTTCTTATAACCTTTCTTGGGGACGTACCATCTCTGCACACTGATATCTATACAACCTATAGTGTCTTGACAGATATCGAAAGTGTGGCCAATTCTGTGGGATATTTCTTATATACTTTCTTTTTCAACAGAGACCCTATTTCGGTGACTGATATGGATCAGAGTCTTTCGCATTTGTTGGAATCTCTGAGGCTCGTGACAGAAAAGATCATAGCGCACTGCAACACAATCCCGCCGAAGTTACCAAGTCGTAGGACCCGAAATACTGAAGTGGTTTCACTCTTTCTTGTTGATTCAAGTCTAGACGATCTTGAAAATGTAATAAATCACGAGGATGACAGGATTGTTTCTGTGAAGGCTCAAATTCAAAAAATTCATGGTCAGCTAATGTTCTTGCGATTAATGCTTGCAACCATGGGGGAAAAACGATTTTCGGAACTTGAGGAGTTTTTTGTACGAATTAGAGACATAGCATATGAAGTTAAATATGTTGTCAGCTCATTTTCTCCTGTGCAGTATCTCACAATCAGGCTTCCTCAAGTAATTGTGAAGACTGAGATTGTTAGGAAACAACTAGAAGAAGAAATGAATAAATATGACGCTGGAATGCTAAAGGATGAAGAATATGCAAGGCAACAAATGTTATTGCAAACTCAAACACCTGACACTCGAGACATTGTTGGCTTAGGGGATGAGGTGGACAAAATTAAAGAGCAACTTCTTCGAGACACAAAGCAGCTACAATTTATTTCTATTTCTGGGATGCCAGGACTTGGCAAGACTACTTTGGCGAAGAAACTATATGATGATCCCTCGATTGTTCAACATTTTGACAAACGCGCCTGGTGTGTTGTCTCTCAAAATTATCAAATTAGAAATATCTTAATTGACATCTTGACGTCAATGGATGTCGTTAATGAAGAAGCAAGGATGGTCGAGGATGAAGGTACATTGGGTGAAGCACTTCACAAATGTTTGTTGACAAGTGGAAGATTCATCCTTTTCATAGATGATATGTGGAATGTCGAGGCATGGAATAAAATTCAAACATACATTCCAGACTGTAGAAAAGGAAACAGAATATTATTCACCGCTCGAGATGAAGATTTCGCTTCCAAAGCTTCATATTCTTCCAAAGCTTCACTCATGGAAAATAATGCTCTTAAACGCTTGACTGATGAAGGGTGTTGGGACTTATTGCAGAGGAAGGTTTTCCAACAAAATTCATGCCCTAAAAATTTGATATTCGCTGGAAAGGAAATTGCCATAAAATGTGATGGATTACCACTTGCAGTTGTTGTCATAGCTGCAGTTCTCGCGAATATGGAGAAGGAATCAAAGTTATGGGAGGATGTTGCTAAAAGAATAAGTTCACAAATCACTGAAGAGTCAAACAAGTACATGAACATACTGGAGCTCAGTTACAAATATTTACCTATGCATCTGAAACCATGTTTTCTTTACTTCGGAACTTTTGAGGAAGACAGGGAAATTGCGGTCCGGAAGTTGATATCGCTATGGATTGCTGAAGGGTTTATTGGGAAAGAAGAGAAGGAGATCATGGAGACTGAAGCACAGAAGTACCTGGAACATCTCATTAATAGAAGCCTGATCCAAGTTGTTCGAAGAAGATCCAATGGAAGAGTCAAAACATGCCGCATACATGACCTCTTGCATGATATGTGCCTGCGAATAGCTAAAAAATATAATTTTATAAAGGTGATTCAAAAGTAAGTACCCTCTCTCCATCTCCTCTTCTCTGTGTGTGTGTGTGTGTTCTGTGTTGTGTTTGTGTGCGTGTTTCCTCTTTGCCTTTTGTCTTGTTTATATTTTGCGTATTAATGATGGTGACTATATGGTGATTATGTCAATGTTGCTGTTGTTGCCGGCAATGCTTTGATGCCATTATCCTGCTACAATTTGGTTCTTCAGTCAGTTGTCGGTATACGAGCAATGCCAACGCCTAAGCATTCACTCACACTCAATTCCTTCTTTTTCGAGACCGGTTAGACTTCATGTTTGCTCCCTGTTAGGACATTTACCTGATCCCTCCACATTCATCTTTGGCAACATGAAACTTCTCAAGGTATTGGATTTGTCAAGCATGGATTTCAGATTTTATAATTCTACACAAGCAGAGGATTTGTTTCTCTTAAGGTTCTTGGCAGTTTCTTCTATACCGTCATCAGTAGAGAGATTTGAGAACCTAGAATTTCTTTTCGTGAATAATCGAAAAGTAGTTGAAATACCAGAGAACCTTTTTAATATGGTGAAGTTGAGAAATGTGTATTTCAGTAGCGGTGCACAATTCAGTAAATCGTGGCGTAAGCGAGCAGCTGAGGGTGAGAGGTTTCTAACAAGTGGCCTACAAAGAGTTTCATATGTTTCCATTCATGATGAAAACGATGAGAAAATTTTGAGATATTCACCTAATCTCCGAAGATTGAAATGCAGATTTGCTATATTTTTTGATTCATCAGAAAACAATTATCGGTATCCTATCTTGAATTTCCTTGGTCAGCTGGAATCACTCAGCATATCTTTCCGTTCGAGTTATGTTACAGATGACCCCAATCTCAATTTGACTAATTTACCCTTGAATCTAAGAAGGTTGACTCTTAGTAACTTTAATTCATCAAGTAAGCAAATTGAGATAATCGGAAAACTACCTGAGCTCGAGGTTCTCAAGTTACGAAATGGTACCAGTGAGGAAAAAAGATGGGACATAAACGAAGGTGAATTTGAAAAACTTAAATTCTTGGAATTGGATGAGGTACAAATTGAAAAATGGAATGCATCGAACAATCAATTTCCTAACCTCGAAAGATTAGTTTTGCGAAATTGCCAGCTTTTGGAGATCCCTTCTGATTTAGAGCATTGTCCGACTCTACGAAAAATTGAGCTACGTGGTTGCAAAAAATCTGTTGAAGGCTCTGCTTGGAAAATTAAAGAAGTGCAAAATGATTACAATAATGATGTTGAAGTTAATATCTACCGCTCTTGATAGAGTTTTCTTTCTCATTTACGTAATTTAGTTTTGAAGGAATTATTTTGGAGGTCTCTCTACATTCAGACTTAACAATGTGCTCTGTTTTTATTTTGTGATATTCATCTTCATTTACCATGTCGCATTATATTGAATCTGTCATTTTGGAGGTCTCTCTACATTCAGACTTAACAATGTGCTCTGTTTTTATTTTGTGATATTCATCTTCATTTACCATGTCGCATTATATTGAATATGTCACTTTTTCAATGAAGCTTTATTTTGAACTTCATGCGAACAATTTTCATATTTCAATGAACAGTTTATAAAGTAAATTTTAAGAAATCTTATATTTATAAACATTATTTCTAAAGAGTTTTTAAGCATAACACCTCAAAAGTTATATATTTTATTTGGAATTCATTAGAATATTTAAAAATTTTCATTTTCCAGGGACTCAAGTCTGTGTCATAAGAAATATTCAGTTTCTAAGAGAAATGATTATTATTATTATTATTATTATTATTATTATTATTATTATTATTATTATTATTATTATTCCTCTAGAACTGGAAAGCAGATTGGTCAAATATTATCATTCCAGAAATGAAGGACAAAAACTCATTGAATAACGTTCGTAGCAATTTTATTGTTGGTTAATTGCTCAATAGTGGTTGCATCAAAATTGAATAAAGTTTGCAAGAATTTTGTTGGGTAGGAACTCGAAAAAAGTGGTTGCTACAAATTCCCCCAAAAAAAAAACAAAAAGTTAGAAACAAATTCTACAGCTTTTTGAATCCTCGACATTTTTATCGTTTTAAAATTAGGTCAATCGATTTTTTGAATGCACAACTTCCATGGCATCAATACTTGAAATTTTTAATATTTGTTGAAAAATACTTCAGTTTATTTTTGTGAGTTGTGTCAATGGTTTATGTCACGTTTTGGGTTGCTAGGATGTGTGGTAATAGAATTTGAAGAATAAGATATATATGTAAATGTGTATAAAAGAGATAAGTTCTTGTAATTCAATTTTGCTATTTAAAAAGTGTAGCAACTAGCAGCAGATTTATATGCAACATGCTAAATGGGGTTCATTAATAGCAGCATCAGAGTTTGCAATCAAAGGCAGCATCAGCATCAGTAAGTCTTCTACAACCTATTCCCGCTTCATTAATAGGTAAACATATCTTGTCCCAAGAGCTCTATTGAATCTGTGTAGCTTGCTCTGTGTCACCCCAAAGAAAAGCAATGAAAAATATTTCAATTTTTCTTAATACAACTAAATGGGGTTAAGAACTTGAAGGAGGTGCATTAGCATAGAATTTTAAGAACCCGCTTCGTTAAAATGAGTCTTCCTCCAGCAGAGAATACCTTCAATTCACACCCACTCAATTTGTTTCTAAATTTAGCAGCAAGGTTATCAGAAAGGAACATTTTTATATGCCCTTTGGATAGAGGAAACCCAAACAGACCATGGGGAGCTTCTGAAGTTCAAAACTAGTCAGCTGTCAACTCTTTCTTGAAATATGACCTTCCTTCCAGTAAAAGAACTTGTATTAACGTTAATACCTTGCCTGACATCCTGCTATATTTCTCATTGAAGTTCCTAGTTCTTCTTAAAGAAGTAGGTTGCCCATTTGTAAAGATGAGAATGTCATCAGCATAAGCTAAATGTGACACCAGTACAGATATTTATTGTGTAAAAACTCAAAATTTTCAGAGAAGCTCTCAGCCGTATTTATTGTATAAAAACTCAAAATTTTTAGAGAAACAGTGAAGGAGATATTGTATCTTCCTTGTCTTATGCCTCTACTCGATCTTAAGTATCCATGCAACTCTCCAGTTACCATTGTAGAAAATCACAATTGGAAACAAATTTCTTGATTTTATCCAACCAGATCTTGTCAAACTTAAAGATTTCCATAAACTTTAAACAGGAATTGTCAGTTCACTGTATCATATGCTTTGGCCATGTCTAATTTTAAAACCACATTCCCAGGTTTGACCTCTTTATCTACCTAATGTGTGAGTTCCTGTGCCAGAAAAACATTATCCCCAATAGTTCTTCCAGGTGTAATGCCACATTTTCTTGGGTAATAGGAAGCTCATTCTTTTAAAGTCTGGTTATGATTTTATTGATGACATTGCAAGGGCTTAGAGGTATGAAATCTTCCATTCAAGTGCATCTTGCTTCTTATTTAGAATCCCAATAGAGGTAGCAGTGTTCCCTTTAGGAATTGTTTTCGTAGTAAAGTATTTCTCGATTGCTTCAGTAACGCCCTTCGTAAAGATCTCCTCCTTGGTAGACATTTCATTCAGTCCTTTTATTATCATGTTCAGTAACCAACCTAAGAACGTCTCAACAAATTATTAGGTTCCTTAGTAGGTTTAGTAGAAAATTCTAGAAAACTCCACCATAGATTTCAGAATAACTTTGCTATCTTCTAACGAGACATCACCTTCATCAATGATTTTTAGGATTCTTTCATTAATTTTTTTTCTTCCTTTTTTTTTTTTTAAACTACAGCATGAAAAAATCTGGTATTCTTGTCATCGTCACTGATACATTTTGTACTAAACTTCTGTGTATAATAAACTGCCTCTCTGTAAAGAAAATGACTCCGCATAGCATAAGCAAGATGGCAAATCTGACTGCAGGGGTTTTAGATATATCATATTGCCGTTTTCTGATAAAAGCATCATTTTCAGCTTCTATAATATTCTGGAATACATTCCCAAAAGTTTCCTTATTCCAGATTTTAAGATCTTTAAGCTTCTTAAGCATATAGTAAAATCCAAATAAACCTTTAGAGAAGGAACAAATAGGTTGTTTTGTATAAAGAAAGATAGGTAACATACCCTAAAGGCTTGTGTCCTGAAGTTAAGAAGCCTGAGGTAATCCTGTCGAAAGATCTTCCAATGATTGAGTTGGATAATGCGGATGGTGAAGATTGAGAAAATATAACTCCATACACACATTAGAACACCCCAAGCTATGACTTGACTCAAAAGATCAAGCAGAACTATTAAACCTATATAGAGATACTCTTCAGACTGATAGAGGTGAATCAAAAAGCTATAATTGGCGATGAGGGATGTGATAGATTCATTATTGTTCAATCAAACATGGCGATTGGTAGTGTTACCAAAAGGAAAAAATACTTTGCACGAAAGAAAAAACAAAAAAAAAGGACGAGTTTACTAGTTAAAAGAAGAAACATGATGATAGTAAGAGATCTAAAGTAAGGTTAGATGTCAAAGGATTTCAATATAAAGAAGACGTTGACCATATTTTCTCGTGTGGTAATGAACTACAACCAGAGCAGTATTTTAACTGGTGGCATAGGAAGACTTGCACCTAGAGCAGTTGAATATAAAGATAACCTTTTCTTTAAGGTGATTTGGAGGAAGAAATTAACATGATACAACCACAAGGTTTTGAAGTACAGGGAAAGGAGAAAATAGTGTGTAGACTTCAAGAGAATTTATATGATTTTAAAAAAGTTCTGAGACAATGGTATAAGAAATTTGATAGATTTATGGTAGTAATGATTTTATAATGGGGATTATTGTTTTTATGTAAAGAACATCGGTAACTCATATATTATTTGCTTTTATATGTTGATTGCAGTTGCTTGTAAGGAAGAAATAGACAAGTTGAAAATTTAACCAAGGAATTTGCAATGAAGGAATTTAGTATTGCAAAACAAATCATTGGGATGAGAATTACTGGGGAAATTGATTTCTTGAAACTGTCACATGAAGAGTATTTGGAAAGTGCTAGGTAGGTTCACGATGGATGATGCAAAACAAATGATTACTCTTTTGGCTAGTTACTTCATGCTATCCAATGAGTAGTCACCCTCTATAGAGCACGGACCTACATTGTCAAGATGCTTTATGCCTCTTCTGCAAGCAGTCTATGTATGTCATTATGGTCAATACAAGATTGGATACATCACATATAGTGGAAGTTGTGAGTAGGTATATGGCAATTCGGGTAAACAGCAATGGGAGGTAGTAAAGTAGATTCTTAGGTGCTTGAGAGGCACTAAATATTCAACCTTATGTTTCAAAAAAAAAAAAAAAAAAGTCTTGGGATTACAAAACTATTTAGACTTTGACATGACAGGGATGTTGATGGCAAGAAGAGTATGCATACACTTTGGTGGTAAAGCAGTTAGTTTGATGTCTAAGCTTTTGAAGATGGTTGTTCTTTTTACTATTAGGACAGGGTATGTTGCTGTAATCGAAGTTAGCAAGAGATAAAATAGTTGTAGTCTTTCTTGGAAGAATTGGGTCAAGCATGCAAAGAGTGCCTTACATTGTGATAGTCAGTGTTATTCACTTAGCAAAGAATCTTGTTTATTGTGCAAGGATGTTGTAGTATATATAGGTTCATTATCACTTCATCATATTCACTTTGAAAGACGAAATCTTGATACTTGAGAAGATTAAATGAAGTCAAAATATGGCTGATATGCTAATGAAGATTGTTCTGATCAAGAAATTGAAGTTTGTGCAACTTTAGTTGAACATTCCTTTTGAGGATTAAGGAACTATTGTTGCTATGAGGTGCCATTGATTGTGGATTAGTCTCCAAATGAAGAGTATTAAGTTGTAAAGCTAAATTATTCTCATTATGTGGAGTCAATATGCAAATTGACTTTCATGGTTGGAAGAGGAGATTAAGAATTTTTTACTTGTAATTTTGATTTTGCTCTAGTTTGTATAAATAGAGTCGTTATTAGGGTTTTTTTTATTATCAATGTAGGGACTGAATGATGTAGTCTCATACTGGGGCTAAAATTTTGCGGAGGTGATGCTCAGAATGGCAACCCTAATATCAAAAAGAGACAACATTTTCATAATTGTGTTTGATCAATTATATCAATCATGAGACTGTTTATACTTCATTCACCAAAACCAATCTCCGATTCCAATCCTTCATTCAGTGGATTGTGAACCCCAATTTGAAAACAAAACCTGCTTCGTTGAAAGCCACGATGAAATTACATGCGCTCATAATTACACAATATAAATAATTTAAACCAATGTTAAATAAAGTGAATCTAAGAGTCCACATTATTGTTTCATGATGAAATAACTATCTAACTATTGGTTTGGCTATCCCCAAATTCTATTCAACCTTCACATGCAACAGCTGATGGCGATGACATGGTTTTAGGAGATATCTTCGCCGTGCAATGATTTA